TTTTTCTCTGCTTTGCCTTTACCTCCCTCTTAGGTTTTTTTTTTTGCCTTACTGCTTTGGTTTTCTCTCTTCTTCTTCTTCTTCTACTGCTCCTTCCTTTTTTTTTCCAGCACATTTTCCAGGGCAACGCAAATTTTCTGGCATTTCCACTTGGTCCACTTTGGTTCGATTCGATTAGGAGTAAACGCCCGCCCACTGTTCATCTTGGGCATCCCTGTGCTGGCCTCTGCTGCAAATGCATTTATGTTTTAATTCGCTCAACCAACTTTGTAGGTGTAGATTGTGTGCCCCCCTTGATGGTGTGTGTGTGTGGTGCAAGGATGAGGCACAAACTGAGGCAGTGGCAGTGGCAGTGGCAGAGACTGAGCCTCCTGTTGGTGGTACCACAAACCCTACACTGCCGTCATGTGCTGCAATTCAGTTAAGTTTTGATTGCTATTTTCGCTTCGCTTCCTGGCCGGCAGCTTCACTGCTGCCACAATGTTGCCAGCGGCAGCAAATGTGTGACATTTCCGTTTCCGCTTGCCGCGTTAATGTATTATGCAACACAAACATATCCTTCCCAACTTTTCGCTTGTAAATTGCCAAATAAAAAAAAAAAAAAAAAAAAGTATGTATTATATATAATACAAGGGACTGGCGATAACAATGTTATCAAAGCCCTCGAGGGGAACACAATATCAAAACCAAAAGCGGAAGCTCCGAGAAACCGTTGCACAAAACGCAGTCTGATTGTGTGTGTGAGAGGGGTGTGTGTGGGGTGTGTGGGTGTGTGTTCGTTTGGCCATCAATGGCAGGGCCATGACCATGGCCATGACCAAGACCGATTCCGATTCGGACTCTGGCAGTGGGTTTGAGTCTGGTTCTGGTTCTGGTCCTGGGTTCTGGGCCTCCGCCTGTGCCTCTGCCTGTGCCTGTGCCTCTGTCTGAGTCCTTGTCCATGGCCACATCTATATCCTGGCCGCATTTTCGTTGCATGTCATAAACAAGCTTGTCACGGGCTTGTCTCCATGGGCGAAATGGCAAAAGGAAAGGAAGAGCAAGGAAGGAAGCGGAAACTAAGGAGTTTCGAGGACATAGGAAATGGAGACATTGGATTTTTTCTGGCTAAAAATCATTCAAAGACTACACATTACTGGCCATTTAAAATGCCTGATTTGATTTGGCACATTCAATACGAAAATCTCTGACCACTTACTTTTGCCCCACCCACACATTGACCTTTTCCTATCCCTTTTTCCAGAAACCCAAAAACAGAGGCAGAGGAAATATTCTCTACGAAGTTAAAGTGGCACCAAAGCTACCGCAACGTATTTTTGAATGATGATGATGTAGGGGTTGTAGGGGATGTAGGGAATGTAGGTTGTAGGGTGGCAAATGAGAGGGGCATGCACCATGTGTGCACTTCCGTTGCCAGGTGCAACTGCTGCTAACTGCAAGACTGCATGTCAAAGTCAGCCAAGAAAGCCGCAATCATGCTGTTCCTCTACGGAATCGCAACCCTCCCACTCCACATAAGCCAGCACAAGGAGTTCTTTGACTACTACAGTTTTGATTTTCATAGGTTATTAGACCTTAAAGATACCCTTTACTACATGCCAAGCAAACTATAGTTGGTAAAAGATTTTAAATTGAGATATTTTCAGGTTTCTTTTTGATTAATTCATGGAAAATTATGAAAAAATATAAAGAAACTTTTGAGATATTTGGATATACCCTAAGATTGATGATAGTTTGGCAGGTTTAAAAGAAATGGTGAAAGTTGCACGCACAGAGAACAAACATTTCTTCCCCAAGCATTTGAATTTGAATGCGAATGTAGAGGATGTGGGGGGGATCTGAATCTGGAACTTATGGTGATGTGGACGCTGAATGCTAAATGCTGAATGTTGAATGTGAATGTGAATGTGAATGGGGGTGAGGGTGGGGGTGGTGCTGGTGGTCTGGCTGCCAGTGGCCATATGCGGTTTAACCCCTAACCTTTGGCTTTTCAAATGTCCACCTCAGTCGGCACATAGCTTGTGTGTGTGGGAAACTAAAAATGTCTCGTTCTTTCTCTCCCTCTCTCTCTCTATCTCTCTGTCTCTTTGGAAAATGGAAAATCAGTGGGGGATGTGGGGGTGTACCTAGCTTCCTTCCCAGGCAGTTTCCGCAGATGAAAGCTTCTAAAAAAAAGAAGAAAAACCACCAAACTACTTAACGCCAACTTAAAGAGGATGAAATGGTAATGGTGGGCATGGACAGGTAAAATGCCAGTCAAGGATAAACATATCCCAGGACAATTACCACCAATTGACAGGAACAAGACCCCAGAGAGGTGTCCCAATGTTAATGTCCATGAAATATGCAACGTTATGTTATGTTGCATATAAGCTGAGGGCTGACTATATATAGAAATGAAAGATATATATCTATCCCATCAGCAATGGGCCAGAAAAGTGTTTTGTAAAGTTTTTCTTTTATGTTGCAAGTCCATTAAACAAAAGCTAAGCTGAAATTGAGCGTGGGACCCAGAAGTGGTGGTCGTGGTGGTGGACAGTGGTGGACAGCTGGACTGCGTCAATCTGTCAATCGTTCTCTCTCCTCACGATCTGGCTATGGTTTTGTCCCGATTCCCTTGCCCAACTCTGCCTCCCGTTTTCAGAGACCGAAGTCAATCAATCACCCACAAAATTGGGTAGAGTGGCCAAGTGGCGAGTGGCAGAGTGGCGTTGAAAATGTGTGGCAACTCAAATCAACTAACCAAATACACACATCGCATGGCTAGCTGCTAGTGAAATAGAAACGCTGCCTGGATTACCAAATTGAAATGCCATTTCAAAAAAAAAAAAACAAAAAAAATGCAGGAAAAACTAGACAAATTTTCATGTAGAAAGAAAAGTTCTGAGTTTTCCCCAAGCTGCTTGGCATAATTTCGATGAAAGGCAAACCTTTGCTTGGCCTTTACTCAAAGGGAGACTTAATGAATGGAGTAGTTAGTCAGGCAGTTTGCTGATGCCTGGAAATTTGCTGCACCATTAGAAGGCTGCTAAAAGGTCCTGCTGCCAGCATTAGCTGCTGCATTGACCATTCTGCCACAATCCTAAATGCTGAATGCTAAATGCTAAATATAGGACTATTGGTTGGGTCGCATGGAACCGCATTATGAGAGCGGTTTCCCCCCCCCCTTTTTAGGACCAAAAATGTCCAAAAAGGACATGCAATAAAAGGAGCAACAAACTGACTGCATGCGCCATGCACAATATTAACCCCAGAAAGGAATGCCTTTTTGCGAAATGAAAGAGTGGGGAGAGAGAGAGTGTGCGGGCCTGCGGTTTGATTGTGCTTCATCGGAAAACCCTAAAAACAGTGGGCGGCATTACACAGAGCGGGGAGGATAATCAAAACTAAACTTAATTAAAATTCATGAAAAGCCTTTTCAAATACGCTTTACATATTTCCTATGACTCCCATTTAAATAGCAGTAGTAATGATAGTAGATAGTAGCTCAAGCTTTTCCCTCACCTTTGTAGCGATGAACAATGGAAAGCGTGAAGTATTTTTCCCCGGGAAAAAGGATAATTGTGAGCGGGGCGGGGGAGGAGCCACTAGGAAATATAGGACATCGAGAGGGTATAGTAGAATAGGGGAGAGTGAAGAGTGAGGAGTAATGTTGCTGCGTCCAAGCTCGGCGGTCCTGTCAGTGGCATAGACAGGCTAATTAGCTCCAACACAAAGCCGCAAGTTTGGTGTTGATTGCCAATTTACAAGCTTAATGAACTTGCGACTTGCGACTCGGGACTCGGGACTTTGGACCTGCGATTTGCGACTTCCCACTTGCCATTTGCCACTTGCGACTTTGAAGCTGCCCCAAGTTGCACCAGCAGCAACTGGCAGACAAGGATGTTGGGCTGACGGTTGTCGGTTGTCGGTTGTCGGCTGTCGGTTGTCTGATAGCGGTGGTTGGTGGTTTACTATGCAAGTGGATTTAATCAAATCAAATTTACGTTTGTTAAAGTCCGCAGACCAGTGGTTAGTGCAAGGGGGAAATACTCACTAAGATCTAATAAAAGATATCCAACGATCTCTTCCGATTCAGTAAGATATATATCTATCAATATATTATAGAAAGGGGAGAAAGGCGGATGTGGCCGCAGCATCATCATTAAGTCGCTGAATCTCGTTCAAAGGAAAAACTTTCACGTATTACTCCTGGCAACAGTTGAGTTTGCGGCTTAAACTCCATCGCCATTAGCTGCCACTGCTACTGCTGCTGCATGCCCCATCTACCATCTAGCATCAGCCATCATCCGGCAGCCAACCTGCGAAATACAAACTCTTGTGGCATCTGAGTTATGGCGAAATTTCATTTCAACTTTTGCATAATTTTATGCTTATTATGGCAGGGCTGGCTGTCCCTAACAGGACGACCAACCAAAAAAAAAAAAAAGGAAAGAGGAAACACAGGACAGGAGCAGGGGGCTAGGGGCAGTCATCTCCAGCGAAGCGAAAAGTCCCTGGACAGTGGCTTTAATTACTTTGATGCATGATTTTGCTGCCATTTGCAATTTGTAGCCGGGGATAATGAGCAGGAAGAGCGTAACTTGCCCCGGCTTTATTTAACCTGCCACAGAGTGTGTGTGTGTGTGTGTGTGTGTGGGGCAGGCAATACACCAAGCAAGCGAAGGATTCACACATGAGCTGGTTGGACGTAATACCCTTCGGGATATCCGTGTGGGGCACATCTGGAAATTTGAGTGCTTAACGCGAAAAAGCCCTCAAAATATATATCCGCTGACTATTAGAGAGATTTAACAATTAATTTTTAGCTTTCCAGGATCCTTGAGGATATCATATTCCTTGACCCTGTAATATCAGATGATTTTTAAAGACTAAATATTATTCATATTATTTATAAAAATCCTTACCCTTAAGATCCTTTTAAAAGGGCCTTCTAATTCATAGCATTTCCTTGTATTTTCTTCATTTATGTTTATTTGCTGATTTCCTTTGTCTTCCAGCAAGGACACTTCAAAGGACAGTGAATCGACGAGGTAGGCGAGACCAGAACAGCGTGGAAAAGCTGGTGGAGTAGGTAGGAGTCGGGTGCAGATTGTCCAGACCCCCAAACCCCCGCCGCCGACGAAGACAGTCAGTAGCGAATTCCCCGCTGGCGAGCAATTGAGCAATTTTGCAAAATGGGTAAGTGGACAGGCGACAGGCCGACGGGCCGCCACTAATGAACCAATCGACCCATCCAGGACACCTCTTGGCCAATCTCTAAATGGCCATTTTGCACCTGATGTTGCACCAATTGTTAACAGTTTATAGATGGTAGCTATAGTTTGGATAGATGATGGTTGAGTTGGTTAAAATAGTTAAGAAGTTGTTATCAAAGATAAAAACTAAAAAGATTATAAACTAAGCCTAAGATGTGTTTTTAGGTTTTTTGTATGATTTTTTGTTGATAATAAATGAACAACAAATTTGCCAATCTTAAATCACTAAAATGGATTAAAACATTTCGAAGATTTAATCGCGTAAAGAAAGTGTTGTTTATTCTCCATTCACCGGAGCTTCACTGCCTTGAAGGCCTATGGAAAAAGACGACGGCATTTCGATCGCTTTGCTTACAAAAATATGAGAATAAAGGAGATAGGCAAGCGTAAGAAGGCGAGGGCAGATCAAAAGTTCGGACAGACTTTAAACTCCGTGGTTATCATGTTCGTTATTATTTGTTTACGAAAGTTGATCAAAACAAACATTAGTTAATGGCATTTAAAATTTATAAACTTTGTTACTTTATCAAAAATGCAAATCTTGGTTATTTGTCCCTCAATAAGTCAGTTTTTTGTCTATAACTATAGCCAATAATGGTCCAAAGGTGGAATGCCATAACCTCGTTGGATTCGTTTTTAAATTTAAAACCAATCTTAATTTTAGTTACTGCTGCTTCGAACAACACCAAAATTACCTTTTACTTGAATAATATTTACCCATAGGGCCCACTGTGCTAAATATAGCCTTAAATATACTTACGACATCCACTGTGCAATCCAAGTTAACTGTAAGAGTTCTATGGTTATCCTTTTCTATCATATGCACATGCATAAGAGATCGAATGCGTGTACAAACTGTGGGATAGAATAGAAAAGAGGAGCTTAAGTTAACTGAAAGCTTAATGTTGTTATCCCTTTCTACCTTATGTATTAGCTCAAGAGATCGAAGGCATGTACATATATCTATCTCGCTGATAGATGTGCGAAAAGAAGGAAGAAAAGGAATAGCGAAATTCAGTTTTTGGCGTTAAACGAGAGTGCCTGTAGAATAGAAAATATAATATTATAAAAGCATTACCGTGATTAACCCATTACATACCCCAAATTTATCACCAATGAACTCGTTCTATCCCCTTACAGATGCGCTGCGCTTCCGTGGTTCACCATTCGCCCGTTTCACAGGACAGTCAACTGGACCGGGACATCCCCGCCCGCCGCCACATCCCCAGCATCCGCAACGCCCACAACCGATGGGTTCACATGGTATCAGCGCACCCGAACCACTGATCGTGGTCGAGGAATCCAATTTACCAGAAGAGCAGGAGGACAGCTCCGAGCCCACAGTTTCTAATCGTGGCAGTTTGGACATTGATTCGCCAGTTAATCCATATCTCCTCTCACCATGGCGTGATCCGCGCGAGGCCAGAAAGCATTCGTTGCCCTCACAGCAGGTTACCGATGGTATCACAGCCAGTCAAGTGCGTAGGCTTTCGGAGCGTGGTGGTGAAGGCTCTGGGCCGACACCCAAGGAGGCTGCCTTTTTGGCCACCCTTTCACAGGCTCCTGCTCCAACTGGACGTCGTCATTCGGTGGTTACCATATCTAAGGTGCCAACAACCATCTTTGGACGTTCGCGCCGCGAATCCGTGGCTGCTTATCCTAATAGTAATGGGTGAGTTATATCCTTCAATCTGAATAGCCTTCTTGCAACATGATTGGATTCATGAGGCATCTACCTTTGTTTAACCTTTTGTTAGAGCCATGAAAGTCTGACAGTATTATCAAATACATACTTACCTATAGTTCCACTTGATCTTCCCTTCAGACATTGAGAAAAAACTTGTTTTTCCCCCCCATTTGCAGAAGTAGTCGCGTTTTGAACTCACGACGGGAGAGCAACACAGGACCCCCGTCGACAGACCCCATCGGTAGCATCCACAATCTGCAGCTGGACATCATGGACGATATCTATTTACAGTCTCGGAAGGCACGCTTGAAGCTCTGGACCTCCTCCAACGAGAAGGTTTGCGAAGTACAGACCGTAGACGAGGCGGGCACCGGTCAGCCGGGCAGGCGTTTCACCAACAGACGCTACTCAGAGTGCCCCCAGCCGGGATTGGCCAGCACCTTTCGCCGTGCCTCCGAGTTGCCACAGCCGCAACAGCAGCAGCAACCGCAAGGCTCGACTCGTGCTTCGACGCGTCGCAAGAAGTCGGGCAGTGGTACTGGTCTCTTGGGCAGTCGCTCGGACATCGCCGGGATATTCAGTTCGTTGACCAGCTCGGCCATGGATATGCACAGGCCAGAACCGGAGGGACGAGATGGTAGCTCAAGTGCCAGTTCCTCGGCAACAGCCACGGCCAGTAGTCCGTTCCTTAGTCAGACTTTTCAGGCTGCAGCTCGTGGACGAGCCACCAGCGCCACGCCGACACCAACAGCACAGGCAGCCGGAGGGGGTGGTGCCGCCGGAGGAGCAGGCAGTTCAGCAGGATGCAGTGGCGGTCTGCTGGATCCGAATGCCGGACGCTCTACCCGTTCCAACAGCTTCGATGTGTCCCTGCTGAACAATGCCAAGCAGCTGGTCAGTGATGTCCAGGACAATGGATCGGCCACGTTGACCGGTTGGTTTGCCAAGCGTCATACGCCGTTGGCCCGCAAGAAGAGTGTGCGCAGCAAGAGCTCAGCGGTGGCACTGTCCAAGGACGTACTGGAACGATTGCAGAAGAAGGATCCTTTGGGCGGAGATTCTGGTAAGCCGAAACTAAAGCCCAGAAGTAAACAGAAGACCTGGGCGGAATCGACCAAGGCAACGGTGGATGCCACCATTTTGGGCACGGCCATCGAGGGTTTCCTGCGCAAGAGCTCCAATGCAAGTATGGGTGGCTCTGGATCGTCGGGCGGTGCCTCTACATCGGCAGCTGCTCGTGGCGCTACGCCCAAGGCGGGCAAAGATTCGGGCAGTGCTAGTGGTAGTCCAGCTCATGGCGCACGTCGTAGTCGAGCCTCGGCCAGCAGCTCCGCTCAATCGCAGGCTGGACGGGCGGTACGCTCTACATTGAATTGGTTTGGTAAGGCCGACGAGGATGACTCTAAGGACACATGCGATGCCTCGCTATGCGCCACGCTCAAAGACCTGTTTGTTAAATAGGTCGGGGGGCGCAGAGGCAAGTAAAGCAATGGGTCGAGTCCCGGCTAGAGCAGCACAACGGTGAGTAGAGGATATAGAAAAGATATAAGTTTATATATTATTAAGATATATATTTTATGGATATTACCTTTGTTTATTTTTGATTTTACCCTGGAATTTTCATTCTTCATTTCCCATTGGCTTGTGGAAGTTGTTTTACACCATACCCTGAAAAGTAGGCAATGTTTATTTTGTAGTTTGTAGCTTTTTCCCCTGAACTTTCCTTAGGCTTCTCCAAAAATCCTTTAAGTATTCATCAAACAGCAAACTAAACACCTTAAGCCTAACAATGTTATATCATCTATTTCCGTTTTTAGCCCGCTACTTGCACCTCTGAGATCCAAAAATCCTTATCGAAAATCGAAAACCGAAAACGAAAAACAAAGTTGGAGGCTTACACAACCCAGTGAACAATAAGCACAGCAGCAGCATCAGCATCAGCATCAGCATAAGCATCAGCCATCAGCAGTAATCACCATTGAAATCATCACATAACATAGAAGCAAGAGCTTAATGACAGATTAAAAGCACAGCAAAAGTCTTCCTTTTGTTTCGTAAAAGGAGAGATGCAGCAAATAATACAACAAAATCAATAATATAATCGCAGGCACTTACATAACTCGCAAACAATGCAATAATAATAATTGACAGCAAAGGCTTCACACACACACACACACACAAACACACTTACACATACACAGCCATTAAACACTTAAGGAAAAAAAAGAAAACAAAAAGAAAAGAGCAGACTTCTGATCTAAAACTGGTAACTGAATGAGAAATTAGAACTGCAATGCAAACCGTATACCTAGTAATGGAACAATAACAGACCCGAAGCTATCGTTACCTGAACAGTTTAAACAGATTGAGATATATATATTCGTACATACATTAACTCGTCTATATATATATATATATAGCAACAATAAGAGAGCACAAAATGATGGATCAAATGGAGAAATAAGTACTTATCACAGCAACAGTGCACAGTGACCTACATAGATGGCCTACAAAACAGAAGAAAAAGAAAAACCCCGCAAAACCCCGAAAGAAAACCCCGAAAAACCGATTAATGGTGAATATTAAGAGTACAAGAGAGCAACTTTTTAACGGTACAAGTAACTTAATGCATAACGGTAAGTGCGAGATGTTGAAGATGGTAAATAAACGAAAACGATAAGCGATAAACAGTGATCGATAGGCAGTTAGTTAAGCGATAAACGATAGAGATTAAGGCAACGCTGCAGGGGGAGTCAGGAAAATATGGAATCAGACATCAGGAAACGATGACACAACACCTCACCCCATCGGGCTGGACCTCATATAAAGCTAAAAGATATATATATATTCTCATACATTTGCATAACATTTGTAAAAGACAAAGACGAAGACGAAGACGAAGACAAAGACGAAGAAGAAAAAGATAAAGGAAGCACAAAAAAAAAGAAAGAAGTAAGAAGGGCAGAGAATATACAAATATTTTTCTACGTGCAGAGCAATTTAAGCGGGTCTCTCTCGGTAAAGGAGTAAATCCCGGGTTAAAAAAAGTAAAACGACGGACTTGTTGAGGCATTGCCGATATGGCAAATGAAACTACCTATATATGGAGTATTTTCATCTTGTTTTTTGTTGTTTTTTTTTTGGTGCCCCAGCATATATATATTGGCACATATCAAAGTGAATCAGTATCAGATACACACGAGACATATGTACAATTTTGTGGCAAGGCCAGGCGGTCTTTAAAATATCAGAAAAGTCGCAAACAATCGTTTAAATCAGAGAGATGATGTTGCCACAACCATATCAATACAACACACCCACACACACACACATAATCAGCACATCTATGTGCCTGGAAAAACACACATACATACTCGTTTATCTATGGAGAATAAGAAGTAAATGTCTACAGACTCAAGAGTTTTAATCAATGTAAACCACACAATAAATGTAATTTGTATGTACAATCTGAGCTTACTCGAGGCGGCAAAAATCACCAAAAAATCTCAAATCACAAAAATAACAACAACAACAATAACAAACAACAAATGCCAAACTAAAACCGAGTCGAGCTGAAAATTCAATTGAAAAATCGAATATAAATTAATGTTCGCGTTGAATATTTAATGTTAAACGTAAAATAATACGCAAAAAAAAAGCAGAAATGCAAAAAAGCAGAAAAGCAGAAAAGCTGAAAATCTGAAAAGTAGCAAGTAGAAGCAGATGGGGGAGAGGAGTAGAAGGAGGAGGAGTTTACCCAGGAAGAAGTTTGAAAATCAATTAACGAAGAAATTCAAATTGGAAATTCGCAATTGCAAAAATTGGCAAACAGAGAGAGGGGGGCGGGCGGGCGCTATAGAAACAGACAGTGAGAGATAGCCAAACAGACAGATAGATAGCGAAAGAAAGAAAGAGAGAGAGAGAAGGATGGACGGACAAACAAACAAACAAACAATCAGTCAATATTGCAATCAATCAAGTGCGTTTCTATATATGCGGCATTTGGTTTTGTCAATTTGTCAATTTTGATCAAAGGCAATCCCCAATGGCGTTGTAAATATAGGGATTTGGATTGGACTGCAGTGTAGTTAAATAACTACTAAATATATAATATATATATATAATAAACAAACACACACACACATACACACATATAGATATATATATACAATAACCATATTGAGTATGTTTAACAATTAACCCATCTATCAAAGATTGTATTCTATCTCAATGTGCCCGAAGAAAGAAAAAATGTGTTTTTTTTAGACTTCGATTTCGCGTGTCTCAAGGAGGAGTAACCAAACCAAAGTTAACTTTCACTTTCAGTGTGTTATATAAGATAATACCTAAATACTGATCTAAACATATATATATATCTATATATATATATATATGAATATACAATATATAAAAACTATTTACAAGTGCAATCCTTCTTGGTTGCAGCTAACTAAAGTTGTCCACGTTTTGCTCATCATCCTAACTGTTGTTCTATAACGTTGCTATTACCAAACTATACAAATACTATATACTATATACTATATACTATATACTATATACTATATATATACTATATAACAATAAATGTGTACAAAAACAAAAACCAAAAAAAAAGGAAAAGTTTGAGAGATCTAAGATCCTGAAGATCTTCTCCAAACATGCATCCCGCTTAGTAAGAAGGCCAAAGCAACTCTCAAGTTCTATTTGTCCTATTTTTGATAGTTATATATATATATACGAAATATATATATATATGTATACAAAACACCCGAATACTATATATATATATATATAAATGGATGCAATTTTTTTCGATTGATTTAGCATTGAATGTGCATAGATTTATGACTAACATACAGAGACAGACATATTCGTGTATATGTATGTGTAACTATAAAGATAATAATGCATCCAAGTACACCCTTTAAAGATAACCAATCAGCGGATAAAATGAAAATTTACTTTTAATCCAAGAAAAGAAAACCCTTAAACCGCTGATTAAAGACCCAAAAAAGAACAAAGAAAGAAAGAAAAGGGTTATCATTGTCATTGTCATTTGTTGTTGACGTTGTTTGATGTCGTGCAATTGTAATTTACCGTTGTTCAATTGTTGTTAATGTTTAACCACATGTATGTTTGTGTGTATGTATGTAAGACCTAAGGCTACATACAAGCAAGCGGTTACCACCGACTACAGTACTTTAGTAGTGTTAACTGGCGCCCAACGTAATATTATATATATATATCTATATCTATATACCCACATCTCTCTTAGTGTGTGGTATTCAAGATCATAGCGATATATATACTAAATATATATATCCTATGTATAAACTACGATTTGAGCGATCTACATATATAACATATATGATTTCAATCTCTAATCTTTACAAATATTTTTTTTCGGGCTTTTTACTGGGCTGACAGCACCGCACCCAGAGGGGAAAAGTGGGCAAAACTACGCATAATCTAGTGAGTAATGAGGATAAAAGAAGAAAAAGAAAGTTGGCTTAGAGAATGGCACGTAATATATATATACAAAGCTAAGATATATATCTATGTAAATAACGGAAGGAATACGTTTGTACATAATTATGCGTATGCTAGCAAGGTGGGGGGGATAGCAAGCAAAGAAGTAGTAGTTGTTTTTTTTTTTAATTATTACTAAAAAAAAGAAGAAGAAGAAAGAAAGAAAAAAGCCAAAATCCAAATGCAACCGAATGTAAAACAATCAATTGATGACACATAATGTAAAACGAAAACAAATTGTAAAACCAAAAAAACAATACAACTTAAAATTGCAAGTAGACGAGAACGAGAATCATACAGTACTCATATATATATATATATAACTTAATATATATATATATATACCTCGTACATAGGTATGCACTTTATAAGGCACGTCGTCGCCCAGGCGAGGAAGAAGTACGATGGAAGGACTAAGTTGAGAATGTGTGCACCAGGCGAGTGTACTTTACCACACATACAATACCCAATATACAGCTAAATATACACCCATATACATCTATATATACATATGGAATATATATATATATATATACGGAAATAAATAGTTTATGTGTACAGATTGCTGACGCTTTCATTTCAAGCAAGGGTAAGGGAGGGAGTCCTGGTCTTGGGTTACCTACCAACCCAAGCCCATGATTAATGGCAGCGCGAAAGGAGTAGCCAGCCTGCCGCAGGGGGGAACGCGGAAATACTGCCAAGTGCAACCAGCTGATGATACACCAACGAGGCACGAGTCTTGCCCAGCGGCAGCCAGTCATAAATCAAACATCCATCCATCCGTTCATCCCAGCCCAAAAACTCAAACCCAAACCCAAGCCGAAACTCACCTCATCTCAGCTCGTGGCGCCTCCAAGTATGCAACGCAAATTCGGCAGGATGAATATCTGCCTGGCCAGGTGGATAAGGCAAGGGCTGGGGCATGTTGGTGACGACAACGAAGGGCAGTAGAGAACCGACAAGAGGCATTAAATGTTAATGCGCTTTATGCAACGCTTGACTGGCCAAACAGCCAGCGGGGTCCCCACATCAGCATTTGCCATTCGGCCCTCCCTTCGCCAAGTGGTTCGGGTATTTGGTAGCCATGGTTCATCGGAGATTCGAATACCCTGTAAAGGTAAAATAATTTATTAGTTGATTATTGAATTAATGGCTACTATGTTTAATTAGCTTTTAAAACAAAAAGAAAATTTAACTTATTTTCAAAATATTTCTTATATTTTTAAGTTAATTAAGAAAAAACTCCCATAAACTCTTATCAAAACTTAATTTGCTATTCAAAATGAAAAATAAAATACCTTTCAGTCATTGCTAATACCGAATCAAAGGCCTTTAAAATTTCTACAAATGCTTTCCACTTTTTTCCAAATGAGATTTTATTTTCCCTGTCGATTCGGCATGAGCCCTGTGCACAGGGAAACCTATGCCTTCCAGGTGGGTTTTGGTGGATGGCTTTGTTGGGTGGTCATAGGGTGGTTAGTGGGTAATGGCTTTGAGCTGCAGAAGCCTACTAGCCAAGGTTGGCCGCATGTCAAGCGTGAAATTCGAAAGCTGCATACGGATGGTTGGTGATGGAAGAGTAGGCGGACTAGCAGGTAACAAAGGCTGGGCCACAACTGTTGCTGGCTAATCAGCTATACGGCATCCATTGTCATCGCATTGTTGCCACGGGTGACATGCAATTATGCACAAAGGGCCAAACCATATTTGCCTGCCTAATTACCCATAATGCGAAGGGCAAATAGAATGGACCAGATTGTAAGTGTGCTATTGAAAGGTTATTTTTGTAGATTATTTTGATTTTTTGCATAATATTATTTTGGCTTTTAAATAGCTAGACTTATGAATATATTTTTCCCCTTTTTTTCAATTTATTATAAAAACCTTCCTTAGCTTAGTTTAAAACCTCTTACGGCTTAGCCAAGTCTCCAACATTCATGGTCTTAGCTTAGACACAGACCTGCTAACAGTGATGTCCCTAAAAAGTTGATACATTATAAGGCTATTTTGATTGATTGGCCAAAAAAAAAAGAGCTATTTGATGTCATGGAACTTTAGTTAAACAATAAATAAGATCATTTGCATAGAGATCATTATCATTTAAGATATTTCCAGCTATTTGGAATAACCTAAGCATACATACCCATAAGAATGACTTCCTATCCGTGAGAACTTCAGTAAACAATAGATTTTCGAGAATGAACTTTTCTGTATCTGAATGGAGAATGCAGTTTACATTAGTCAAATAAACCGCTGTTCCTCAGCTGCGACCCATCGCTGCCTTTTCAGCTCTTCCAGCCGTCGATTCTCTGTTCGGTTTGCCTCAGTTTAGTTTCATCATTCGACCTCGCCGGTATTGCTGCTCCGTGTTTCTTTTTTTCGATTTCCTTCTTTTTCTTTAATTAAGCCCTTACCTGTTTGTAGGCAATCCAAAAAAAAAAAAGAAAAAAAGAGTGTTAGGGGATTTTTCGTGAATTTCTTTTCGGTTCGTAATTAACGTGGGTTTAACTGCACGCCTGTGCGGCAATATCATTATTAGCGTGACGCTCGTCACCCGTCACAGCTGTGTCCAACATCGGGAAGGTGAGTAAACACAATACGAATGTGAAAACGACTTCAAAGATCGCAAATAGCCATAAAAACATGGGTGTTAGACCAAGAGAGTACAGGCGCATGTGTAAGCAGCAAACATCTGAGAAAAAGAGAGATAAGAAGAGAGAGTAAGATATAGCAGCAAAGGGCATTCTAGTTTATGTTAGCCAGCGCAACGTGATTTCGATTACATTCTGATCTCATTTTTATGATTTCTGATCTGTAATGAGAAAAGTGGGGAAATTTTAAAGAGTTTTCATTGGAAAATTGAGGTAATTTCAACAATAATTATCTTTGTTTATGATTAAAAAATGTATAGGAAATTGCTTATTAATCTTTAACTTAAAAAATGAAGAGAAAAAGTTTGATCATATTATTATCATACCATTTAAAATTTTTGGTTTCGAGCACACAGAGATGAATGTTTCTGGGAATGCCCCAAAGCCAAGATGGTTTGTTTGCCAGTCCAATTCTTGCAGAATCCCACAAATAAATCAAGTCAACAAAAGAATGTCGGAGAAAGAGTAGGAGGGGCAGACAGACATGTGAAATAGCAGCATCTCCCGGGGTAAAATCTCTAGAAAGAAGAACTTGTTTTTGGGAAGCGACTGTTGGTAAAGAAGCCGGAAAGCAGGCCGCGTATATTTACCCAGCTTTTGAAAAGCTTTCATGCCAAAAGCTTCTCGTCCAAGCATTGCCTACTTTTGCTAGCCAGTGGAGTACATTAGCGGAGGGAAAATCAAAGCTTGCATATTTTTCCAAATCGTTTATGACCTTGCAATAATGATATCCCTTTATATTACTTATTTTTTTTAGCTCTCCATCGACGTGTGGAATATACAACGACATCGCGTGACCTACAAAACTGAGGTAAGAATTTTAAATTAAGTTTGTGTTTGTTTAAAATCCATTTCTACGTATACTTAATATGGAGTATACTTAATATGGAGTATACTTAATATGGAGTATACTTAATATGGAGTATACTTAATATTGCGTATACTTAATATTGCGTATACTTAATAAGGCGTATACTTAATATTGCGTATACTTACTATATCGTATACTTACTATGTCGTATACTTACTATGGCGTATACTTACTATGGCGTATACGTACTATGGCGTATACTTAATAAGTCGTATACTTAATATGCCCAGTTAAGTTAATAAGGTAACAAGGTAACAGGAACCAAGTTCAGGGAACCCCAGTGCGTCACATCTCGCACCTCGATGACTTGTGGAAGAGGGCCCACTGCCAATGGCAGTGCCAAAAATAGCCACTTCTCTCATCCAGTAAGATCCGAGCCCCTTGTCATTGTTAGTGTTGGTGTTGTTGTTGTTGTCAAGAGCTAGGCGATACTACATTTGCCCAAGTGCTTCCCACAGCGCTCCATTCATAATATAATGCGGTGGGCAAACAAGTGAGTGTATGTGCTCCGATACCCATGTCCAAGATACGACCCGAGATCCCCACCGCATCCGACATTCGATCCAAAAACCGTTTCGGCCTGAATGGGAGATGACGCGTCGCATCGGCTGATGAAGAGTTAGCCCAGCTAGCTTGGAAAGCTAGAGAGCTGCTTCTAAACACTAAAGTAAATACGGAGCAATATAAGCGGCATTCGGTGATTTACCCATCGATAATCGAGTCGGTCAGAGTGTCTGTGGTCAGTTCGGCCCACACCCCAAATGACAGGTGACGACGATGACAATTCAATCTAAAAGCTAATGTTTACGGGTATTTCCTCATAGGCAATTCTGGATTCTGGTATTTACGTCATCGACCCATTAACAATCAATCGGTCAAGGCCGATCAGCTATATAAGGACATAATTCTTAGACACCCTGACGCACTTACCATGCAACTTAATCTGAGGTGTGGACTTTCCAAGAGAGCATGGTGTATCGGAAAATCATATAAATTATCTGGAATTTAGTACAATGGGAATTCGCACGATAAAAACAAGGGAATTTCTTTGTATTAAATCAATTATAAAATTGTTGAGTCGTTGCCTTTTTAAATCTTACCATAAACTGCCAGCAAACAAGAAAGTTTAGCTGCTAGTACGGAGTCTGGAGATATTGAATATCGAATAAGTTAAAGTTACCAATCAACGATTGTTAAGCCAACAGAAGAGCAATGAAAAGATCTTAAGAATCTGGAACTGACTTAACTTCTCAACTTTCAGTTAGAAAAAAACCAGCAGAAGAGCTATGTTTTATCTATGAAAATCTCTTAAGATGTTTTCCTAACAAAGTTTGCACAGAAATCACCGACAGATTCTAGTTGTTACACATCCTTGTTTATTTTTAAAAACAAACAGTAACCAACAGCCAACGGAAGATCTACCCCTGCACGCTTATTATAGCTCCTGAAACCGGATTTATTTATAACATACAATATACCCGGGCACACTCGATCCCGCATAGCCTGATAAGGGCGAACGTTCACACAACGTCATCTTTGGTCTGGCTTGCAACTAGAGATCGCATTGCCTTTTAGCATCCCCAGAGTTTCTTATATGCGAGATATAAAAGCTGATCGATATTTCCGCTGCTGTAATATGTGATATATATATACATATTCCTCGTAGTTATATATATAGTTGGTATTTTTATGTATATTTACTATTGAGTACAAAGTACAACGATGTACGTACGTCACTGTGGAAGCACTCATCAATGGAATGGTCATTTCTAAATGGGGATCGGCAAACAGGAACGACAGATAGCGGATCTCCCTCGAACTGGCTGACGTTGCAAAGTTTACTAAGGTCGAGATTAGTGCGTGGCCAAAGTTAGCACCTCGTCGAGTGCGATAATTAGCAGTCAACACAAAAACCTGGTTAAGCAGAACATAAGAAAGAAAATAAAAGAAAAGAAAAGGAAAAAGATTTATTAATAATTTTACTGGGCTATTGCAAAAATCTAGGCTGGCAACAAGGCTGGAAAAGAGGGGGGAAAAAAAAAGTGGGAGAAAAAAACCCATTCAATATACTGCAGCAGCTAAATTCCGGAAACATATGGCCATTATGGATCTGCCCAGGGTAATTGGGTAAAAACAGCATACTGAAAATTTGCCCCAGCTCTTAAAACGGAAGTTCGCATAAATTGGAAACTCCGAAAGCATTCGGAGCAAACTCTGTTGGGATTTGCAAAGGCAAACACAGTTCCCATGAGGATCTTTCGGGTAGAAAGCTACTCATTCCTCGTACGTAAGCTGGCTGTAGAAAACCATCGTCAGAGAGCCGCCAATTCCCTAGATGAGTAACTTTACTTGGCCCTTAATTTTGTGTGGGTTCTTATTAAGAGTGTGTATGTAAGTTAGCATAGAAGAGACAGCCAGTCTAGTGGTGTCTCTTATACTAACTCTAACTGACACTGGCATGGCTTGGCTGAAGTCCATTTGGCCGAGACTTCAGTTCCATTCAAAACGCGCACGTGCCAAGCGAACGATCGGAAATGCCTACGGAAAGACGAGTCATTCCCAAGGCAAATTGCATTCGGATCAGTAATCAACGGCAGTTAACTAAATCATACTGAACTAAGACGAATTTGGCATATAAACTATATGGTTTATGGTGATCCGATCAGAGATATATATATATCATTATCAAATCAAAGTGTCTATATCTTTATCTAACTGGATTACAAATCAAATCAAATTCTGGCTTAAACCCAAAACCAAAAACCAAAAACCAACTACAAGAACACTTTCCCAAGAACTAAATAGTCTGCTTAACTTAGTGTAGGGTACAAGAATTCAATGTGACATCCGTTTTGGGCCATGAAGCGTGTGTGCATAAATTTCCATCGAAAGGCAGAGGTGGAAGAAAAGGAGAAGCCGGTGTAAAGACGAAGGCAACTCACTTTCCGCAAGACAGGAAGAAAACAAACTGGCAAAAGGGGAATATATACCTATTCCCAGTCTGAGTCAGATTTAGACTTAATTTAACAACTGATCGAAAATCTCTAACACTTCTCATTTCCTATATACGAAACAAAAACAAAACAAAAACTTCGTTTTCTAATGAAATTCGGCTGAGCACGCGTCAAAATGGCTCATTGTGATTGGCTCGACCAAGCGTTGTCGTCATTAACGATCGTTCGCTGATGCTGCTGCCCGGCTAAGTTTCACTGTTGTTGTTGTTATTATTATTTATTTCTGTTACCGCCCGACAGTCTCCGATACGACACACTTGTCGCAAGCAAGCAAGTACTGCTTTCGTACTTGTATGCGTAAAGCAAAAAGTAAGCTCGGCCACGCGCTTCGCCGCTCGTGCGGCTTCGGCTACTGATATCGTTGGATGGCGGTCCGGTTACTATTTAAATGGCTTGGCGTGTGCCCCAACTCCTCATTAACCGTAAGATCTCGCAGAGCCCAGACGCCAGCTCTTAAGCAAAAACTAAAAATCTAAAAAATAAACTTAAAAGGCTTAAAACCTTAAAACCTTAAAACCTTAAAAGGCTTAAAACCTTAAAACCTTAAAACCTTAAAACCTCAAATCAAAACTTAAGATCGCGAGTGCTAAGATCAATATAAAATGGCCAACAACAACAACACTACTTTTACCATTACAAATCCCAGTGAAATCTTCGATTCGTTATCCTTGGAGCGATTACAGCAACAGTGTCCTCCGGCTATAAAGTCCTGCTCGAAACAACAGCCAAATATCAGCGTCAGCTTTGGCCGATTGTGTAAGTGTCTTCCTCAAATCTTCTTGCCTCTGAATCATGTCCGCGATAAAGCTCACCGATATCTTGGTATATATCTCAATGTTTTGTCTGTGTCATCGGTTGGCAAACAGGGCAGAGCTCACTGTTAAGAAACTTAATCCAAAAGGAAGTTTAGTTTATCTAATGATTTACTCTTAACAATAAAACTAATTTTTTCTTATTTCTCAACTTACATTTTAGCTCCGAGTAAGTGCTGGCTTTTGGGCATCCTGCTGGTACTCACCATTGCCAGTAGCTGGCCAACGGAAACGTCTGCCGCTCCACGCAAAGCTCGAGGAATACACCTGATCTATCCGCGACGTAGCCAAAACCAAAATCAAAATCAAATTCAAAATCATAACCATCATCATCACCAGCATCAGAGATCGATAAAGGCCAATATCGTGCCATTGCTAACAAATCAATCGAAGGATCAGAAAAGCTGTTCAGCAATCGAAATGACGGCCAATGCCACAGCTCTTCAGGTGGCTCACGAGGTGGCCTATAATACACGTGAAGCTGTCCTTTGCCTGACCAAAGAATGGGTAAGTTAATTAATAAGAAAGTGTTTTCAAAACAGATTTACTAAGATTTACCTTTCTTTTTTTCTTCCTTTCAAATAGCTGAAGAACGTAAAGAAAACCACACTGAGTGGTATCATTAAGGCATATTCCTTGCACACCATGGCCGTCAAGCATCCGTTGCAATCGGAAGTGGAAAAGGTTGTGTTCGATGAATCAACGGAAACTTTTGTCTATGATGGCCCCGTTGGCAGTATCGAGGATGAGGTGCCCAAGATTATTGATAGCGTTCTGGTTTTGGAGGCCCTCTTCGAGAAGATTAACTTCCAGGATATGGCATTGAAATGCTATTTCGGTGTCTTCACGCAATTCTTTCATCACAATATCCATGAAGCTCTAAGTGTGGCCGACATGAAGATTCCCTGCAATCCAGGACAGTCCGAGTACAATGAAAATTACATAATGCCAGAGTTTGGTGCTGCCATGGAAACCATTAAGGTATTCACCATTCTCGAGCACAAGTACAACCAACTGCTGAACCGATCGCTGCAAGAGTAAGAGTTAGTCAGTCAGTCAGTCAGTCAGCTGGTCGAAAGGATAGTCCGATGTTCCAGTTGCAACATAGCCATACCAAAAATGAAAACGCCTCCGATGATGATGATGTAAATGATGATGATGATGATGATACGCACTGTAATCTCAAGCTGCTATGTATGAGGCTAACACCTCGTATTCGTATATCCAAACTCCTAATTGGATCTGCCTTAGACCCTATTATTTATTATAACTTATTGCCCCTTAAAAAAACACACACACACACCACCACCACCCAACCCCCATTCGTATTTATATATCGCTTTCGCATCCTATTTATATACATATCACCATACTCCCACACACACACACATTCACCGCCTCGCAGGCTCGATAACTTATGAAAACTATTACTTAAGTGTATTTTTTTTTAATATATATACTATTATATTATGATTATTAATAAATTATAAACTGAATATGCGCATTAACTGAAAGGTTTAGCTTTGCTTTTTGGGGGATATATATTTATGATACCCTCCTAATGCTTGAGATATATCTTTTTCCTAAACTAAATCTATCAAAGATCTTAAAGATACTTTAACTAAAAAGGCGAAAACACCCCTTAAACCTTTAAAAACCCTTAAAAAATATCTTGAAATCTTATCAAATTCTTCATTTTTATTTCCCTTACTTCCTTTCCTCCCCAAAAATCACTGAATGATCGCTCATAGTTTATGATCCCAATTACCCCACCTACATGTCGGAAATACTAGAGATTCCATTTTCGTTTGGACTCGTCATCTATCTTCCCTGACCCACCCCATCATCATCATCACCATCATCGGACCGTTTATAGCCCGTGGCCGGGGCACGTTCCGTTAGATATATATCGCTATATAGACGAGGTTTTTTTCACTCATTCGCTCGCTCGTTCGCTTGCCGTGGGTTTTGAGAAAACCCCAAGTACCAAGTACTTGGTGACTCATGGACCATTAGGCTAAATATCGGGCAAACGCCGCATGATCTCTGCGTGTCAGGTTATATATCTAAATATCTATATATATATATATAGATATATATACTTAAGGTATTGTATTGCCTTCGAGGAGGTTTTTTACCGTTGCCACTTGGCTGGCTTCCCGCTTCGAGGGTAATCGGATCGGCTGGCCAGGAGCGATCAAAAATGGTGGAGCTGCTACTGCCTGGGATTCGGACTCGGCATTGGCATTGACATTGGTCTTGGTCTTAGGGTTGGGGTTGGGGTATTTGGCTTCCAAAGCAGCAAGGCCAGCTTTAAGTTATAGCTGAAAAATCCCAAAGAATTGAGTCAGCGGCAGCAGCAGCAGAAGCAGCAGCAGAGACTGCAGCAGCAGCAGCAGCAGCAGCAGCAATCGCATCAGCCTTGCAGCAGCAGCGGCAGTCGCAACAGAGCGGTATGAGTTTATGAATGAAAATCTAAATCCATACAACTTTCCGCCTGACAACCTGTTATCGCTCGCCGTCGTCGTCGTCGTTGTCGTCGTTGTCGCTCTCTCGCAGCCCTCTTGCTTGCTCTCTCTGTCGTTACGGACGGCCAGCGGCAACCTGTTGCCATCGCTTGGCCTGCCCGGACTCTCTTCCACTCGAAACCATTCTCTCGCTATGTTGCTCTTTTGGAGCGTCTTGGCGGCCCAGCCATTGGCCGCAATGCTTCGTAACCGCTCGTCTTTGGAGTGACGCTCAGCAAACGGCGGACCAATCATCGACGGTTCATAACCATATACTAACACTTATAACGATGTGGATACACACATACTAAAGTGTTGGTGCCACGCCCTCGCAGGCGCCCTTTTTTAACACCGCAAATGGCTAAAAAAAAAGAACAAATTTCATTAAAAAACCACAAAGATAAAAGAGCAAACTTTGGGTATTCATTAAGTTTCCTTTGGCCTTTCCTTTCATTTGTTTCTAGAAGACCAATAAATCCGTTTTACTGCTTTGGAAAAATGTTGGAAAATTCTGAAATGATTGTTTGTTAAAATCAAATAATTAACTATATCATATATAAACTATATCATTAGGTGCAGAAAGGGAAGTTAGTTGATTAAGTAAACCAGAAAAAAAAGAGTCAAAATCATGACTTGACCTACTTTGTTGGTAGTCTTTCAAGTGCAAATACAAAATTCACACATACCTAATATAAACCTAACTTATACTTACTTAACTCATGGTTATAGAGGTTTAGTTAAATGATTTTAGTTCTAGTACCTTTACTAGTAATTAATAAGTAAAGCCACACCTTAAGACATTTGTCTTTTGAAAATTGTCATAAATATTATTTTTAATATATATTTATAGAAAATTTTGTACGGATAAAACTGGATAAGTTATTTTGATACCCTTGCAGAGGGTATTATAATTTTGGTCAGTTTGTAATGCAGTGAAGGAGACGTTTCCGACCCCATAAAGTATATACATATGTATATTCTTGATCAGTATCAATAGGGGAGTCGATATAGCCAAGTCCGTCTGTCCGTCTGTTTCAACACTGTCTATATCCTATAGCTCCCATAGGAACAATATAGTGAAAACTGTATTTTAATCCTTTTTGCTATTCTAGTCAAATTTTCATTCGTAAAATCCGCAAGGGTATTAAAACTTTAGCTTGCCGAAGTTAGCTTCCGTCCTCGTTAAGCTCTAATATTTGTTAAATGGTTTTTAAGAGCATGAGAATACAATTTATATTAATTAAACTTAAACACAAGTTCCACCCTATTTTCAACTCCCTATTTAATAGATTAGTTAATAGTTTAGTTCTAAAAATAAGCTTATTTATAAGATTATGCAATAATTTCTAAGAAATTGTAGTTTTTAACTTGAAAAGAATTTTTGATTAGTCAAATAGAAACTTTCGTGATTAAGATATCAAAATAAATTAGTAAAACTTAGCGGATTTTAAATAAATAATCAAATTTTTGCTATTTTATAATTGGGATATATGTATATATTATATTAGTATTTAAGTTTTTAAGTCGTTTAATATATTGCTTTTAAATTCCAAAAAATGTATTCTAACTTAGTGGTGTAGATTAATTTTACAACGTAAAACCTTGTTAGGAATGATATTTTTGCCAAGAATTTGTAAAAAGTTTAAACTAAAACTTGTTTCTAAGTAAAATAAAATATCAGAAATTAAGTTATTTTACCAATAAAATACTTTAAAATGACTTTAAAATCTTGAAAATATTATTAAAGAGTATTAGCTAAGAAAAACTTAAATAAAAACTTTAATTTAACTTTACTTTAACTTTATAAATTAAGCAAAAGTAATACATCGCCTTAAAAGGTTTATTTTAGAAGCAACGTATTAACCTAAATCAAGCCAAGAAGTTAGTAAAAGTGTTTAAGAACTGAGGCTGCTCCCTTTTGAAACTCAAAAATAAGAAAATAAATAAGAGATTAATACCAGATTTTTGGTTTTTAAGCTAACTTGCCAGACTAATTTCAGCTTAAATGATTAAGTTATAAAGTATAAACTAAGATAAGTACTTTCCTTTAGATGTTTCTTCTTCAATCTTCATCTTTCCTGATCAATTACCAACTCCAACTCCAATCCAGCCATCCATCTGATATGTCCAAAAACCAAACATCAAAGGATTAGACACCGTTCCAAGGATGTTCCTCCAATCAAGCCATAACGAATGCCAATTGCAACGGCAATTTGAGGATCCGATGAGCAGCGGAAATAAACAAATAAACAAGCAAATAAATAAACAAACAAACCGACAAAGAAGCCAGGAAATCGACTAACTAACCGTTTAAGTTACCGTTTCGGATGTGAGAATTGCAGTTGCAGTTGCAGTTGCAGTTGCTGTTAAGATCCATGATAAAGCGACCGATTTTACGCATAATCAAAAGGGATCAAAACAACGGAGAATCCAGTTGAGAATTGAGAATTGAGTTGAGAAACTCACACCTCCACACCCACGAAAACAGAGGAGGAGGATAGGAAGGATACTGGTTAGGTAGTCCGATCGGATCAGGTCCTTGTCCGAAAGGGACAGGAGCTAAGCAGCGTGTAATGACGGATACGTTCACCTTGGTATCTCTATCTCTATCTGGTATGGTATAGTATGGTACATGCATCTCTTGGTTAACCTTCTTGGCCGAGGTCGAGGCTGTGTGGCAATTAAAGCGTATCCTTAGGCATTCGATACGCCGCTAAAAAATTACACCATGACAGGACACAATGCATTCAGACAGGGACCGAAGGACCTCACAGGACAGCTCAATTTTGTAGCAAAATATTTTTGTTGTCCAGAACGAATTGCCAAAGTAAAACAGAAAGTCCACTACATTGGCAAAGGTGCCACTGGGGGCAATGTACATACATACATAGAGGGCGGGGGGTTTTTCTTGCCACCACCCGCTGGGCATCCTGTGTGTGTGTGTACCGACAGCAGCAGCAGGAGCTCATCAATGCAATAATCGTGTCCATCTATCTATATAGTATAGGTCCTGGATGAAGCTGTTGCTTCGCTGGGTGCGAATTGTCTATGTTTCGTTTCTGTTTTTGTGCCATGCCGCCGCCCTGTCCATTTCCCAAAGGAGAGTAGAGTAGAGGCTTGCAACAAAAGGTGTGCGCTGCCACTGCCTTGATATATGTGCCAGAGTCTACCCTCTCTGTGGGTTGTGGGTCTTGTCAGTCCTGCTAGTCCTGCGAATCTAGCCTCGCGGCGAAATCAAGGCGAGTGGCCCCGCTGAGCAACACGGCTGCTTCCTGCAGCAACTGCTTCATGCTGCCCGTTGCACGCTGCACTTACGGTTAGACGCAAGGACATGCCATCGATTGTCCTTTCTTCTGTGTGTGTGTGTGTTGTCTTTGGCCCGCTATCTAACCATCTACAGCTGTTTTCCTCGACCTCTGCCCATAACAATGAGGCCATAATTTCGTGCGCTGCCCACAAAAACAAATCCTGGCAAAACTCTCGATTTAATTAGGCCGTCAATTGTGCAAGCCCTCGCAAGGGAGGGAGGCGGGGGGGTGGTCTGTAGGTTTGTTAAGTGTTGACCACCAGGCCATCAGGGCCAAGGGGGGATTGCCTACGTTAGGTAGCTGGAGTTGGTAGTTGACTGTTGGCCAGGTATGTTATTGGTCCACTGGGCGGTCTTTGTATAGAGGTTTACGGGGAGGTAAAGGGGAAGTTGGGCGAGAAAGTCAAATGCTAGCAGCGGGAAACTGTTTTTATAGGAACTGAAATGAAAAATATTATTAAAAAAAATATTAAAGATAATATTTTGGTTATATAAGAAGATAATATGTTAAGAAGTTAGTCAGTTATCCAGGCATTAAGTTAAGTTATTAAATAAACCAAGTTAAGCTAAGTTACTGTCACCAAATTGAGGTTTCTTTTTTCTAAATATGTTAATATTAAAAATATGTTGTTAGTCCAACTATTAGGTTAAACATTGTATGTTAAGCTTAAGTTGTTAAACTAAAAATAAATAAAAAAATATGTTTTTAAAGTTTACGTTTGATTTCGTATATGCAAAATTTATAAAAATATTTTAAGACAGCTTTTCTATGATTTGGTAATGCAAACCTTCTTAATAGTTTCTATATTTAATATTAATATTTAAATATTTAATAATTATTAAGATTTAAAAATCAGAAGGCATTCTTTGCTTGTTAGTTAACAAATTTTTTAAGTACTTTTCGTTTTAATATATTTTATATATTTATATTTATATACTTTAGACTTTAGTTGGTTTTTCTTGACTTCAGAACGTAAGTCATAATACTGGTATTTCTCCTTCTTCTATGAAGTTAAAATTTAATTACTATTTCAGATAGATAGTTAGATTGAAGTACAGTAAAACTCATCAAGAAAGTTAAAGCTAATTTTTGATAATTTTTTGCTAATTTTTTGTAATATTTATCAATTTTAATTTATATTTTTTATTTAATGACCAAAAATAAATTTACTTTTGCTAGATTGACTTTTAAAATATATATAAAATGTTTATTTATTTATTAATATTTTATGAATATGTTTATTAATATTATTTATTAATATTTTATATTATTTATTTATAATATTTTGATTTATTTATTATTTATGAATATTTTATGAGTATAGTTTATTAATTTTTTTATTAATATTATTTATTATTATTATTTTATATTATTTATTTATAATATTTTGAATTATTTATTATTTTTTTGATTTATTTAATATTTATGATTATTTTATTAATATTATTTATTAATATTTTATATTATTGATTAATATTTTATATTATTTTATCTTTTATAATACTTATTATTATTTTATATTATTTATTAATATTTTATATTATTTATTATTATTTTATATTATTTATTAATATTTTATATTATTTATTTATAATATTTTAATTTATTTATTTTTTTATTAAAAAATTTGCATTCTTTCTTACATTTTGGTAGGTTATATTATATACCAGCTTAAGGCCTTTACTCGCTATTTTTAAATTGTCTCAAAATATTCATGAAATTTAATTAAAATTACACGAAAATATATTTTAATTTTAATTACACGAAAATTTTGAGACAATTTAGCTAAAGCCACTACAGGTCTTAACCCCTAAGCTAGTATATAATGTAAACCACCAAAATGTAAAGAAAACTTCTTATTATCAACATTTCTGTTTTCATAAGACAGATTTAAAGTTGTTAATAAAGTGCTTATTTTGTCTACTTAATTTATATTTGATAAGCTTCATTAAGTAAGCCTAAGTAGTCTTAAAAGAGTTAAGAAAAAAAGCACTTTCAAGACATGATTTGTTAACTAACAAAAAAGATTAATAAAAGGCAATAAAAAGGTAAAAAATATTATAAGAAATCTTTAAAATTCTCAGCCAAACCAAAAGAAAACTCACTATTGGCTTCCTTTTCCACTTCTCCATTTGATTTTCCCACCAACAAGCCACTTTCCAATCCAGAGCCTTCTCGAATCGCGATCTTACCTGGCTTAGCAAAGCAGCCAGAGCTAAGTTGGTCGTTCATTTCCGTTGATCACTTTCTGCGCTGATTTGAATGTCAGGACTTTTTTGGTTTTGCGGAGGGGTGAGCAAGCAGCTCAAGGTCATCTATCCGACAGGGACAGCAATAAAGAAGGGCAGCTAGCCCAGCAGCAAGAGTGTGACAGAGCCAGGTAGGCAAGCGCCTTTATGGGGGCCACCAGGTAGCCACTCTCTCTCTCTATCTCTCTGGGCACCGAAAGAGAGTGGCCGTCTTCAGTCTTTTATTTTGAGTGAGTGACGCGGATTGGGCAAGTGGGAAAATCGAGTTGCAATGGCGACCGGGCCAAGATCAGCCCTGGTTAGCAGGAGCAAGAGGGATGGCGTGAGGGCAGCCGGTTGGCAGGCTCAACATACACACACACACTCGCATACCTATGCAAGCCAGGTAGGTAAACACATACATATACCATATAAATGCAGGTGACCTGCCTCCAGAGGATACCCAACGATCGAGAGCGTGAACGGGACAGCCTGCCATTCTTCGGCTGCGATCGGGATCGGTCTTCTTCTTCTGGCTCGGACCATGGCGTACCGCTCGGCAATCGTTGTTGGCGGCAGCGACGCTGGCAGAGGCCAGGCACAGGCCCAGGCCAGGCCAGGCCAGGCCAAGCCGCTCAGGCTGAGCGCCGCCTCAGTTTTCCATTTCAGTTTCGGTTTCGGCCTTTTGCCGCTGCTGCTCATCGGGTCGGTAACGCTGCTCTGGTATCTGGTATCCGCAGCCGCTGCTGCCACAGCCGCAGCCTCTCAGCGAAGAAAGCTGGTCAAATCCAGTGCGACTTTGGGCTCAGTTCGGTTTCACACTCGGACGCGAGCAGAAGTGTCCGCGAATCAGTCCAAAAAAAATTGAAAAAATTTTTAAATCAAGAAAACACAGAAACAGAAACAGAAAGCAATACACCAAAGCCCCCAACACCAAGAACTACAAAACGTCGCTGTCTCTCAATCTGAATCTCAAATCTATATAGAAAATATATATACAATTTTTTTTTGCAAGTGCTGTTGTTGTTGTGTTGTTGCAAGTGATCTAAAATTCTGTATATAAAAGGAAAATCAAATTGAAAATTAAACCAGAAAAGGAACCTATTTGGATTAACCTAAAGGAACTTTGGAAGATCAACACTCAAGCAACGAGGATCCTTTTGAGGATCCTGGCCGTATTCACTTTTCAACTATAATGCGGTGTGTGTATTATTTTTAATTTAAATAGAAACTTAAAAGCAAAAGCAAGTGGAGAGTGGAGAAAGGATATGCCTATAGAAAGGATATTTAATCCCATTCTCCGCTCTTCATTTATGACCAAAAAAATGAGCGATCAACGATCTGCAGCTTAGAAAAAGAAAGAAAGTTTCTTGGAAAACTATTTCCCTCAGATAGTAAACCATATTTTCTCAACAAATCAGTTAGGAAACAAAAAATCATAAAGTAGCCTTAAAGAAAATCAAAAAATCAACAAAAAAAAAGCAGCTACAAATTTTTAAAATTTTTTTAAAACCAATTTTAAGGCCAATATCCGCTAACCGAGCATCCTTTCAACGTTCTATCAAAACAATCTTCAGTATTCGCTCAGGCTACTCTCGAGTTAATTGTCTAAATTATAAAGTTTTCCCCGTCCCTTACATAATACACATAACTCGCCCTGGAAAAGACAAAAAAAAAAAAAGAACAACGAAAAGCGACCAAAAAAAAAAAACAGCAAAATAAACGCAAAGAAAATGTTGAAAAAAGCTAACAAAATTGTACAGACTGTTGTCCGGTTGCAGTTGCATTCGCATTGAAGGAACCCATCCATCCACTCCTCCTGTTAATCTAATCTCACAAAAAGTCTATACATATATATATATATATCTATATAAGGAGTCTTGAATATAGTCCAAGAAATTGTCTTTAAGAATCTCGAGTCCCAGGATAAAGGATTATTGATCGTTGATCGTCTCGCGTTGATGCTGAGATCTTTGCTTAGTTGAAATTATTTTTGCATTCTCAATACTCATTGTGTGTCTTTCTTTCTCTCTCTTTGTCTTTCTTTCTCTCTTTCTTCTCTTTCCATTTCTTTCCCCCTAAAAAAAATCCCTTGCCCCTATCTTATCCACTTTGTCCTATATATCTCACCTTCCTGGATACGGATCTTGGCGACCTACGGAAACAGCAGTTGGTTGGCAGTGCGCTGCGACCACAGCTAAAGGCAGCATCACGGCAACCGGCAACGGAAACGGAAACGCCAGCGGCAACGGTAGAGGAAGTGGCTATCATGCGGCGATGGCTCGTCCGCTGCTCCTGCTCCTGCCCGCCATCCTTCTCCTTCATATCATCGCCTATCTACCACACACGGTCCATGCCCGCAGCACAACCAGCAGCGGTGGCCTTACGGTGATCGATACCGATCGATTACGTATACGCACCACCTCCAGTACGGCATCATCGAATCAAAATCAAAATCAAAATCAAAATCAGCCAGCGATCCCCTCCAGCTCCAGTCCGCGTAAGCGTCATCGGAAAAGGAATAGCAATTGGATCGATTATCGGAATTTTGATGAGAATACAACGGCCTTGGAGTGGGCCAATCCCTGTGGCGGCAACTATCATCCCTCCGCGGGTGATCGCTTCAATCGCCAGCGTCCCAGGCAGGTGAGTTTATCAGCTCGAGTGTTTTGCCCCTTTTGATTAGTTAGATAATCTTTATCTTTTCTTCTCTTTTCTTTTTATGATCTTTTTTAGAGCTTCAATCAGCTGAAGCGCCATGCCTTTAGGGAGTACCGCAGCCTAAACAGTAGCCAGGACTCGGCCATCGATATCCGCAACATGACCATGTGGTCGCTTCATACCCACAACTACAAGTTCCTGCCCAAGCTCAAGCCCAATTCAACGGTAAGTTTTCCGAGTTATATAACTGAAAAAGAAAAGGATAATATTTTTATTTAGTTTTTATCTAATTTTGTAAAGAAAGTTAAACTCCTAACATAAACTTACCTAACATTTTCTCTCTTTTTCCTGTTCTTTTTTTTCCTAACTCACAGATTGCCCTGAAGCGCTGGTACCGCAACATGCAAACGTACGTGGCCAGCTTTGCGTATTTGAGGCGCCAGCAGATCCGCTGGGATCAGCGTTCCATTACCCGCGAGTCGAGCACCGCCCGCGAACTGCGCGAACTGCTCCTGAGCTCGCGTCGCATCCTCTGTGAACTGGAGACGGCCGTCAACCAAACGCAGAGTCCGCGTCAGAAGCAGCGGCGCAGTGGTGCGGCAGTTGTTGCCGTTCCTTCAACTGCCACAAGCGGCGGTTCTACCAATCAGCTGCCACAGATATCGCGACTGGAGATGAACAAGCGTCTGAAGCTGCGCTCCAAGACGGTCTCGGGCTCGGAATCGGGATCTAGTGCATCCATACCGGCCGGTGAAGCGGATTCGATTGATATGCGTTTCGTGAAGCATCATTATTATGACTTCCTGCGTACCATGTACCAGCTGCTGAGGCGCGATGGCAAACGGGTGAAGGTTAGCCGCCCGAAGAAGTCCCATCATCACAGGAAGCACAAGAACAAGAAGAGCCAGCAGAAGAAGCAGCAACAGTTGGCCGCCGAGCAGCTGGAGAAACGCTGGCGGAGTTCTACTATGAATGGCAAGGAGTTCAATGAAGTGTCCAAGCCAGTGGCTGGTGGCTCCTTGGTGGCTTCAGGTGGTGCTAATGGCGGTGGCAGACGTGGCAAGCGCCAGTCGAAGCAACGCAGCAGCGTGCAGCGCACGTGAAATTGCAGTTTCATGAATCATAATTCCCCGCCCCCACCCTCTCATCAACCCTCTATTTCTCATCATTCCCCTTTTAATTCTCTATTAATTTTCCCTTAGGACACGCCCCTTTTAATCCCCGTCCCCACCCATTCACCTTAATTTAACCGTTTATCGATCGATCGTAGCTTAAGTAAATTATTTGATTGCCAGCACCGCCGACTCTCTTCTCACTTTCATTGCAAGTATTAAGAAAGAAAAAAATAACATTCCGTATTTATTGAAGGAGAAAGAAGAAAGAAGAAAGTAGAAGTTATAGATTTTAGTCTATATACTATATATTATATAGGATAAAGAACAGTTTATAAACCCCAAACCAACCGCAGTTGCCGTTCTAGTCACATAAGAGCAACCGCCCATTATCCTAGCACCCACTGGAAAGTATTATTTAAAAAAAAAAACATTTCTTTTTACAAAAAAATCCAAACTATGTGACCCCCCACATCCCATCCCCCTTAGTATGCTAAGCTAAAAAGAAATCAAATCCATCTTAACCATAACCATCCCTAGACTAAGCCTAGTTCTTAAGGCCCACCAACACACTCTTTTTTTTTTCTTAGGCTAACTTTGTGTTTTGACATCTGTGATATAGTGCTTGACTAGTTCGTATTTAACCTAATTGTACATATATATTATATATATATATAGATAAAGATATAGCTATATAGTAAGGAAGGAAGTGTGGCTGCATCTGACATGCCTTCGTAGAACTAAGCTCGCCCTTAGAAATCGATTTTCGTATTTATAGACAAGACAGATTTATGACTAAGCCAGCAGCGAAATAAAGCGAACAAATAAATTGAATTCAAATTGAAAATAAAATTATTAATTGGTTTTTTTAATATTTTGGGTTGGGAAAAGAAAGTTTGCTTTGAAAAAGAGTCCAAAATGAAGGCAGCAGCAAGTGGTTGCTTTTTGTATCTTTTTTTGGAATAAAAGAAGTTGAGAGCTATCTTAGGGGTAGAAAATCCACCTTGGATTCATTTCATTAGTCAGCAAAGATAGTTTTTTTAATTTTATATAGAACTGATGATAAAGGTTTCTGTATATATGCCTGATAAGTCTTTTTGATGGAATATCAAAAGTTATCTTCCTGCCAAGAGGATTTAAGTTTTAGCAAGACTAAAAAGTTGTTAACTCAAAATTAAATCCTAAGACTAGACTTCTAAGAAAATCCTTAAAAAAATGAAAGAAAATTCATGACTATTTGGTTAAATGAAAGATAAGTATTAAGTTTAATATTATTTTATAAAAATGTATCAAAAGAATCTCCAAAATATATTTAATAATCGTCCTAAAACTCCGCTTTATGGCATTTCGTTTCTTTACGTTTTTCTTTCCCTACAAGTCATAACTTTAAGTAACTTTTATCTTTCGATTATACTTCTATAAATCCCCATAATTAATAATATTTAAAATCAACTTACTATATAGCATAAACCCTTTAAGTTTCCCCCACTAACTCTATTCCCTTGACATACTTTTCCAGAAAAACTTATCTGCGTTGCCCCTTCTCCGAAGACCCATCTTTATGGCTACTCCATGGCTTATGGGTTTTTATGATCTCCAGCGGCGTCAAACTATTAGCACACCATGACCAGCTTCCAGTTTCCCCTCATTATCCCCTTTCCAATACCAATCCCCACCCCTCCCCCATCCCACCTGTAACCGTACCTAAACCAAACCAATGAATGGACGACTGCGATCAATGAAATACTCAATGAAAGTTTCCGCCAAGTGCTGGATCATAACTATAAAGCTGATGATCGCTGATCAACGATCATTATCATCAGTGATCAGTGTTCAGTGTTAGCCTGTGGGATCAAAGGGCAGATGAGCTGCCGCTTATCCTCAGTGTTAACTAAAACATGGCTAAACACTTGTCTTGGCCAATATCCATGAGGCATACTGGTTTTTGTTTTAAGCGGATTTAGGCAAATTTACTTTATAATGCCTTGGCTTATTGCCAAGCTCCGTTTAGGGCGCTTAGTGGCAACTTATGGCCAAAGACCAGCCGGATTATTAACGCTCAAAGGAACGGAAGTAGTCTATCCTTAAGTGTCCTGAATATATATATCTATATATATAGAAAGAGAGAGAGAAGACAACTGTCTGGTGTTGACATGCAAATGGATTAGCACGAGACGTTGAGCGAAAACATTTTCTGGATTTCTGGCATTATAATGCCGGCTAAGCCGTTTATTGATTGCAATCGATCGAAAAGGAAGTCCAGTCCAGTCCAGACCAGACTTTAAGCCGCTCTAGGGTTTTGGTTTTAGGGTTTGGTTTTAAGGGTCGTCGTCATCTCCATAGTCCAGTGTCAAGTGTCCCCTTGGTTTCAGGCCTGCTCTCTCCTCCCTTCGCTTTTTGAGCCCTTTTGGGTAAGTAGGTGTTGTTATGTTTTTAGCTGTCATAAATATTGTAAAACTCGGTAAATATTTAAACAGCGTGCACAATAAAGGCAAATGCCAAGAGGCATGGCCCGAGGTTCGGGGCATTTTTCAGGCAACAAACCAAACATTTCTCGTTCTTGGCCTGGTCATAACGGTCTGGGCCTGCCTGGCTCCTCTACCTGCCTGTCTGTCTGTGCTGCTCCTGCTGAAATTTGAATATTGTACCGTCGTCGGCGGGTCAAGAAAGAAATAAAGAAAAAAAAGAAGAAAAAAAAAGATTAACAACATTTAATAACCCATCATTGGGCCGTCTCGCTCCCACGCACATATTGTGCGTCTGACAATTTTGCAAGATAACTGCATTTGTGCCGTCCCTTTGTCCCTGGCCACTTTTTGCCATTGTCCTGCCATTTTGCGCTCCTCTTTTTTTGTTTCCTTAACCTTAGTTCTTTCCTTTCATTTCATTTCATTTCATTTCATTTCATTCCTTTCTTTCTTTCTTCTTCGCTCTCACAAATTCCCAATCTCTTTTTGTGTTTTTTATTGTCCTGCGGCACCACCATCTTCCTGGAATCCCGTGTCCAGTCCAGCATCGTCCTTCGATTTGTTGCCGAAATATATATGCCTCCCTCCTTCTGTCTCTGCCCAGGATATGCATCTTATATGTATCTATTTTCTGAGTTTGGGTTTGGGTTTGGGTTTCGAACATATCCTGTTTAGTTACCTTAATGCCTCAGACAAGTGGCAACTCAATTAAGGTTATAGATTCAATTATAGGGTTGTTAGTCAGTCAGTCAGCGGGGTGAGTGGGTGATTGAGATGAGTTGAGATGATTGATCATGCAGTTAAGGTAAAGGATTGCCTGGTTTGGTTGTGGGTAGAAGTAGTTTGTTAGTTTTATTTTTCAACAGAAATCTATAATGTTAGTTTATTTTCTATCACTTAATATGCTTAACTACTTAATAGTGGAATTTTTAATATATTTTTTAAAGATTTTTACTATTTTATAAGTAACTTAAGAAGCATAAGCAGACTTTCATGCTTTCTGTAAACTTTAAATCACCTTTTCATGCTATCAAAAAGGTTAAAGAAGATCTCTCTAATAGTTAATCCTTAAAATAAATATTAAAAACACTAAAAATCTTTTAGAAACAAAGACTAAAAACATTCATTAACCCATTAACCAACTTATATATAAACCAAATCCCAAAATCACTTCTCCTTATAATTGACAAACTTGATTGATTTGCTGCTACTTTTCTACTACTAAATGACATTTATCGCCGCCTCCCATTCACTTAGCATAAACACGACTTTTAATTGCAGATTATTAAGTGTTTTGGTATTAGCATTCCCCCGGCTAACACATGAGATTCCATTAAGGCTGCCTTCCACTACCCCTCCTGATTCAAATCCCAATCTCCCCCTCCTGCATTGCGATCTGTTTACAAAGCAGCGGCGTTTGAAATTAATTTGTCAAATTGGCCGCGTGATTTGCATTTCAAAGCGGTTCGCCTTTCAATATTTTCCTTGTTTATATTATTATTACGTCTTTTTTTTTCGTTTTCTGTATCAGCGCTGCCTGAGAAGTTGTTATTGTTTTTGATTATTATTATTATTTTTATGCTTTTTTACATTTGTTATTATTTACGTTGGCATAGCCGGCCGGCTGAGGCTTGAGGCTGCGCTTTTGTTTTTCTAGCTGTCGCTGGCTCTCAATGGCAATGATGATGATTATTATGATGATCATGATCATGATTATGATTATGATGTTGACAAGCAGAAAGCAAATTTTTCACAATATCACTTAAAAAGCCTTCTAGTTTACGATTTTTAGTGATTTTTTGTTGTTGTTTACATAGAAAATATTCCCCAAGAAAAGCTGCTGATTGATGGGAAGTCATTCTGAGTTAACAACAGAAGCTAATCGATTTAATCGATTGATTTCAAGTGAGTCAAAAAATTGAATATGGAAATTGAAGTGGTTATTTTATGGAAATATAAATAGTAGCCAGGCTGAAGTGGGGTTTAAGGAGGTTTTTTTTTTGGCTTATTTAACATGATTTCTTGACTGTTTAGAGATTAAATAGTGGAATTTGGGTATTATGGGATACTGTTTTCTCAGAGTTAATCAAATTGATTGAAAAATCGAAAATTATATATATTAAAAACTCTTTTTAAAGATAAACTGCTTTTGTTTTTAAAGTTTAGCAGTATCTTAACTTGAGAGTAAGAATATTTGAGTTTGTATATAGAAATCTTTCATTTTTTAAATGGGATTAATAATGTGTCCGCCAAAGACAAAGTCTTGTTAAACTATTACTACTAGTACTAGTATTTCTACTACTACCACTACTGTTATTACTACTATTTCTACTACTACTACTACTACTATTATTACTACTATTTCTACTTCAACTAATTTTACTACAACTACTATTATTACAACTACTACTATTTCTACAACTACTACTACTACTACTATTATTACTACTACTATTATTACTTCTAATATTATTACTACTACTACTACTACTATTACTACTGCTATTACTAATATTAATACTACTAATAATACTTTCTACTAATATTAATATTGTATCTTCTAAAGTTGAGATAGTATGTTGAGGAACGATAGTTTTCACTATAAATAATATATAATATAATGAATAATATAATATAAATAAGACAAATATGCATAAATTATGCTTCTTAAGTTGAGATATTTTATGGAGATATCTTATACTCTTCATGTTCTTAGCTATATAGATTGGGAAATAAGTATAATAGTATATAGGTATAGTTTTCTTTCATAGACGATATCAATGTATATCTTCATACTGGAATGTTCTAGTCCTTAAGTTGAGATACCTTAAGAGATAGCTTTAAGATCTCATAGTTAGTTAAGAGACTGTATAAAGATAACTTATAGATTTCATCTGAAGAGTTAAATAAAATTGAAGTTGGCTTTTGGATTTTAAATCAAGAGTTTGAATTCTTTGAAAGGATACTCCTTATTTCATGCGTATACTTAATTTTCTACAACTTAAAGTGTAATTAATTTATAGTAAGTAAAGTTCTTATTTTAATATTAAAACTGAGCTGATCATATATCCAAGTTTCTTCTCGAAATGATATACTTTATGCTTAGTATATGAAGCACAAAGTTAAATCTCATATTCGAGTATGTGGTAAGAACTACTATATAGTTTTCCTTCATAGATCCTTCCAAACTTATGATACTACTAACTTGATTACTTGACTTACAAATATAAATCTAATGCAATTTCCTATCAAAGCTAAGATCAATATACAGTACCTAATAACACTTCCCAGCTTAAGTTACTATTTAAAACCACCTTAAAGCTTATCATAAACTTAATTACCT